CTCTGTATTCTAGAACTAACTGTTGCAACGCGAAACGGTAGTGACCTTTGATCCAGAAACTCCGTGCGTGTTTTGTGCGGTAACCTTATACCCTGCGATAGTTAGTGGCTTCTGTAAGCTAGTTAATCGTACGATAAAGTTAAGTGACTGTCATCGTGACGAACAAGGAAAGTGAATGTGGACAAGCCTCGGAGGGCCCCCTCAAGTTGGAGCGGTGTCGACGCCCGGGCTGCTGCCGACGGCTAAGGTCTAGGTTCAATCACCATCAGTCACACCCAGATACACACCACATCACCATTCTTTCTCTTGCACTACACAACCACATGCGACCTGACCGACTCCGGAGGGACCAGTCGCCTTGGATATAGGTAAGTAAGCTTCGTCCAAATTCCTTCCGGTCGACTGGCCGTAGTATAATGCTCCCCCATATATTTTAGTGTAGTTAGAGAGATTCCACGTGGCCACATTGAGGCTCGACCTACGTCTGCTCGGGAAGTCTTCAGCTCATGGGCCCCTGATGATTTGATCCTCTAAGGGAGCAGCCGTAGGCCGTAACAAACTGGTAGCAGAGCGTGGTTCCGGGTTCGATTCCCGGTCGATCCCGACCATAGTGTTTGATAAAAATTAAACAATTCTGGTGGCAGGGAGCGTTGGTTTGATTGGTTTAATTTGTATCTACAATCACGCCCGTCCGTAATACGTAAAATATTTTTTTGTACGTAATAATAGAATTATTTCCCTTTGTTGTTTGTTGCTTGCCTTTTTCTTGGTTAGTAGGTAGTTTGAAAAGCCGCGCCCTAGGTTGCGCAAGCGGGAGTTTTTCTAGAGATATACGTCATGTAGGTAGATGGTGATTTTTACGTAATCGGTTAATTATCGTTCTCGGATAGTTGTAGTGGATTACTTATCGAAGGGTCGATTTTCTAACTAGGCATTTTTTGTTGATCGACCGTGATGTGTATCTTTGTTTATATTGTAATTTGTATTTGAACTAAAGAGTAGTAATTGTATTTGCGCAATTTGAATTTAACTTGATTTGATCGCACTAGTATTTGTTATTAATTAATTTGATTTGTGTCTTTTCTTTTGTGCTAACTTGTATTTGGTTGATACGTAGTAATTCGTATTTGTGTAATTTCTATTCAACGCGACTTGATAGGAACTGCATTTATTAACTGTTAATTTTTGTTGTATTTTTTGTTTGTTATCTTTGTAATCTGTGCTCAAGCCGCGTCGTAATTTGCATTTAATAGTGATGACATCGCCCAAGCTACTGATCCGTTGTTTGCGGACTGAGCTACGCTGGGCCACAAGCGCCCATGCTTTGATAGGTCGACCGGATAGGGTCCATAACTTGATGAAGCGGTTCGAGCAGGTGGATGCTCGAAGGGCCGCAGTGGAGGAGGCTTACGCTGAGCTCGAGGATTCGGATGTGGAGAAGGGAGTCCTGGACTCTTGCTTTGCGGACTATGAGCAGTTCTTGTGGCTCACGGACGAGTTGATCGAGGCTGAAGGCAGGTATGCCGAGGAGGCGCGTGAAGCTCGGATGAGTAACCTGCCCGAGTCCTCTCTGAAGCAGCTTCAGCCGGAGCTGTTGGGACGACTCCCAACTCTGGACCTGCCAAAGTTCTCCGGCGTCCTTTCCGAATGGCTGACCTTCGTTGGTCTTTTCGACAGCCTAGTGGACGCCCGGAGTGACTTGACCCCGAGCCAAAAGATGGTGTACCTCCTGGCCTCACTGGAGGGGGAGGCCCTGGGCGTCGTCGGCCACTTGAGATTGTCGGACGACGCTTACCAGACTGCTCGGGAACTCCTAGCCAGAAGCCAACGTCCGGCGAATTGCGGACGAACATGTTAAGCAGTTTCTAAGCCTCCCGCTGCTTAGTGACCGGGCCAGACTGCGTCCGGACCTGTTGGATCCAGTCTTGCTGGCCTGTAATACGTTGAGGCGGCTGGGTTTACCAGTGGGCGAATGGGCTTTTTTATTGCTCCGCATCGTGCTGTCCCGTCTACCTCTCGACCTTCGAATCCATTTTGAGGAGAGGTACGGCGGGGACGAGCCCTCCTATATTCCGCCCTTCTATGACCTGCTGCGGTTTTTGGAGGAGCAGTGCCGGCAGATAGAGAGCGCGGCGGGCACCGTTGACGACTTACGAGCCGTGCCCAGTGAGAGGCTGAATCCTCCAGGCAAGTCGTCGTCAACCCCCCCCCCCTGCTCCTATTGTCGAGCATCTGATCATCGGGTAACGTCGTGCCCGAAATTATTAGGCAAGCCGGTTCCAGCGAGCTATCGCCAAGGAGCGCCGCTGGTGCTGTTCATGTTTGGGAGGACACCTCCAGCGAGACTGTCCGCATCGGCGGCCCTGTCTGCATTGCCAGGGCAATCATCATGCCGTTTTGTTCCTGAGTGCGAACGGCGTCTCCTCTCGGGGCTCTGACAGGCCCTCGACCCCCACGGGCGGGGGCGCTCAGCCACGCCCTCTGCCGGGCGACTCTCGGCGCCCGCCGGCCAGCCATCAGGTACCTAAGTTTGAAAGGGGTCCCTCCCCGACCAGTCGGGGGGTAATTCTTCCAGGGGCGTGGGTGTCATCACCCCCCCTAAGCGTGTGGAGAGGAACTTCACGGCCACTCATCGGTCCGCTGGACCCTTCTCACTCCCGTTAGCTGAGTGGCCGCGACTGGTGTACCACTGTTCCCCATTTGATGGAGGCGGCCCTGGCTAGCTGCCGCCTTAGCTCCCACCACGGCCACCTCCACTGAGTCTCAAGCCGTCAACAGTCCACTTGTCAAAATGTTCTGTTGCCGACGGCCTCAGTGAAGGCGTACAACCCGAGTGGCGACTGTTAGCGATCTCGGGTTCACGCCATGTGGCCTCTCCTTGGTGGTGGGAAGATTAGGGCCCCTCTGGAGCGTTGAATCACGCTGTCAAGGGGTATTAGATTTGGTTTGGTCGAGCACTTAGTTAAAAAAAACTTGAATTAAAATTAAAAATTGCTTTGGGCTTTCCGCGAAATTTTCCTATTTGTAGCGGTTTAAATTAAAAGAATTGAATTTAATCTACTCCTTTAAATGCTACTGCATGTGTTTTGTACATATATTTAATCACTGTATTTGATTGTTGCGTCTGTTTGCTGAAAGGAAATTGAATGGCGCGCTATTTGAAAAATTATGTAACATATACATAGATAGTGTTTAATCATTTTGCTTTGCGAAGAAGTAGGGCTGTCCCTTACGTTATTGTTTTGTTTAATTTGCAAGTTGACCTATGCGCATCGGTGATTAATTTGGTTGAATTAATTCTGTAGTTGAACATTGATGCTTTTGGAAAATTAGTTGAAATATGAGCATAGGACTACTTGCCTAACAGGCTAGCTAGTTTTGGAGATTATGAGATTGAAATCAGCTGCCGCACTATTTTAGTAAATGATAATATGGTGGGTGGCCTGGCTAGGCCTACTTGTTGAAAATTCATACTAGGGACTATCTGTGCGTTTCGTTCAGCTCTCCTCAGACGACGTTCATGTGGAATTTGTGGGTGCTCTCTGCACTGAAGCTTAGGAGGCCGCTCGGGGCCGCTTCGTGTCGCGTCGCTGTTTGCAGAGCTGATCCGGTCGGATTGCGGAACTAATCATAGGGGCACAGATAGGTGTTTGAAAGAGGTCGTCGGACTTCTGTCCAGTACAGGACTTGTTAAAGTGCTGCGATGCCCAGGAGGGGAGATGCTGCGATGCCCAGATGCCATCCAGTGGAGGCTAACCCTCCGGTTTGCCACATTAGGGCTATTTTTTGAGGCGCTGGTTAGGGTTGCAAGATCTGATGGGGTGCCTAAGGTGGCCTAGTTTGGTTGTAGATTCGGTCTTGCAACTTGCCTTCGCGACCTTGTCCCGCTGACCGGTTTGCTCGCGGACCTTAATCCTTATGTACGGGACGGGGGTTTGTTCGCGCCAAACACTTTCAAGGATTGACGCGAGAGGGCGCTCGGCGCGGTGCAGTCATACCGGTTTGACTTTCGGTCGTGCGAAAAACGCCCAAGGGCAGTCAGTCGTCCTTAGGCAGTGCTCACGATTGGCACGCTGCCAATTAAGCGCGGGAACTCGGAATAATTAAGCGCGGACAGTAAAAATACGGTCTAGGAATTTTGTGGCGCGTATCCCTACTGGAGAGCTTCCCCGGGACTTATTGGGTCCGACTCAGAATCTGTATAAGTGCATTCGACAATATTAGCTAGTGCGGCCTCTGTATTCTAGAACTAACTGTTGCAACGCGAAACGGTAGTGACCTTTGATCCAGAAACTCCGTGCGTGTTTTGTGCGGTAACCTTATACCCTGCGATAGTTAGTGGCTTCTGTAAGCTAGTTAATCGTACGATAAAGTTAAGTGATTGTCATCGTGGCGAACAAGGAAAGTGAATGTGGACAAGCCTCGGAGGGCCCCCTCAAGTTGGAGCGGTGTCGACGCCCGGGCTGCTGCCTACGGCTAAGGTCTAGGTTCAATCACCATCAGTCACACCCAGATACACACCACATCACCATTCTTTCCCTTGCACTACACAACCACGTGCGACCTGACCGACTCCGGAGGGACCAGTCGCCTTGGATATAGGTAAGTAAGCTTCGTCCAAATTCCTTCCGGTCGACTGGCCGTAGTATAATGCTCCCCCATATATTTTAGTGTAATTAGAGAGATTCCACGTGGCCACATTGAGGCTCGACCTACGTCTGCTCGGGAAGTCTTCAGCTCATGGGCCCCTGATGATTTGATCCTCTAAGGGAGCAGCCGTAGGCCGTAACAGTACTTTTCGCGTAAATATAAGAAATCATTTTAAAAAAGCCTATTTAATTAATTTAAATATTAAATTATACAACATCAAACTGTTTACTTATTGAAAATCTATAGTATTTAAGTCGAGGATTCAACCTTAATTTCAATTAAAATGGTATTTAATTAAAATTGAAATTGAGTTGAGTTTAGTTTGAAATTGATCAATTGAATCATTATAGGTTTCTCGCGGTGGACATGCAACTTTATTTATTGGCGGGCTTTCTGACTCTCACCTTGGGCCGGTCACCACGCAGAGCTGTGAAGGTCCTAAGCTGCCTTCTCGTTTGCGCGATCATTGCAAATTTCATTATCGCCTACAACTGGAACTTAAAGGCGATACTCTTCTACACCAACCCCGAGTAAGTGTTTATTGGAAACCTCTTATGACGTAAGTGTATCTCGTAGACATTATTTACCGCAATTATCAAGGCGCGATAATCTAGAGGGAGGCTAGATGGATTAACAACCTGGATAGAAGAAATGCAGGAGGTCCATGGATGCACGTTGCTTGGTACTATGATTTGTGGCATTCCTTGGAGTAGGCTATGTTCAGGAGTGGACTTTTGAAGGGCTGTAGTAATGTTGATGATGATGATGATGATAAGATCGACATAGAAAAACATTCATTTTTGCTTTTATATAAGTTGGATCACTGTCTATCTTGAATTTTGTTGCATCTTGTTACCACAGCTAATATCAGTATCCTCGGAATCGACATATCAAATAACGTGCAGTTTAATGGTCACTTGTAAAACTTGACATAGCATAGCGGGACAGCAGTTCATGCCGACACACCGCTTGCAAATTTACTATATAGGTTGGGCATGGAATACCGTTCTCAACTCTGGTCCGGGGCTATCCAGTGCCAGCTCTTTCCACTTGACCACATCCAGCGCTTAGCGGCTCGAATGATCTACGACCGTGTTCTGTGATCGGCTCTATTCACTAGCGCTGCGAAGAAATGTTGCATTACTTTGCTTTTTCTATCGCATTACCACGGGGAGTGCCCTCAGGAATTGTTCGGATTAATTTCAACCGCCAAATTTCACCACCGCACATCGCAACAAAACTCACGTTACTATCCACATCATCTGGATGCTTGGCGGTCCACTGCCGTGCAATTTATTAGGAGTTTTCTTTCTTGCACGACTACTTTACCATTATAGAACCGTTTATCATCGCCGATTTTTCCGGACTGATATGACTTGGGGACCTTCATGAAACAAGCCAAACCTTTTTAAAAGGCCGGCAAAGTACGTGCAATACCCTGGTGTTGCAGTTGTTTGTGGGCGACGGTCGACAGTTAATATCAGGTGAGCGGCATGCTCGTTTGCCCCCTCTTCTATAATAAAATGCGACAAAGAAATTAAATATTGATAACTCTTTCTTTACTAACTGATAAAGATTTTTATATGTGTCAAACATACCGCAAACGTGGTATTAAAATTCAATATTGACTTCCAGTAGGTGTATAAAATGTACTCTGTGATATTGACCAATTCCATCTGTATAGATTGTTGTAAGTAGTTTATCTTACGGTGCAAGCATGCAGAAAATGTGCTGTAAAAACTAAATATAGATGTATTTTTCTTTACAGACTGATCCGAAACCAGTTCGCTGGTGAGCCCTCTTTCAACTTCATGTATACGGCTCCATGGGGAAGCTTACCTTCCTCACTGATCGGACTCATTGCAGCCATCCTTCTTTATTATAGGCAACAGGTCAATTTCAAGCCCGAAGAGAGTTTGGTAAAAATTTACAATATGTATATATATATATATATATATATATATATATATATATAGCTCTTATATATTTAGCTGTTCCCCGCGACTTCGCTCGCGTGTTAAGGTTTTTATGTTTTTGTGCGGAACCCTAATTATTTTTCTAAAATAAAAGTAGCCTAAGTTACTCCTTATCAAATCAGCTATCTGCCAGTGAAAGTCCTGTCAAAATCGGTCCAGCCGTTTCGGAGATTACCAGGAACAAACAGACAGACAGACAGACAAACATTTTAAAAATTGTATTTTAGTTATAAGTACCGTATTTACTTTTTTTTAATTTCATAAGCACACAATATACATATTAAACATTAACACTACATTATATAACAAGTAACACGCTCACTGATATGTATATCAATAACAAGTGTACATAACATTTACCAACAAAAATACATGTAAACATTGAGAAGGAACAAAACAGGAAAAAGAAAACACATATACATATACATACATACACACATACACACACATATACATACATCCATATATATATATATATATATATATATATATATATATATATATATATATATATGTAGGAAGTATAGTGGGTATAGTGCCGTCATATATATATATACATCCACATATATATATATATATATATATATATACACACATACACGCATATACATACACACATACATACGTACATATACACACATACATACGCATACATACATACACACACATACACCGATAGATGATCGGTGAGTTTTTTTAATGACAGCATAAGAGTTGTGAAATATGTCGATTCCAGGTATAACTCGAGATATTTCATTATATTTCGCACATATGCAAACCATAGGAGCTTGCTTACCAAGATGTGTTCTAGTGAAAGGTATGTGAAATGTTTTTCGAGAATTATTGCAAGAGCGAGGATATCTAATTGGTACTGATAGAGAAACCTATTCAAGCAGCTTACTGCACTTGACTTTGGAATTCATTATTTTATGTAAGAAACACAGATCAAGTATCTCCCGCCTGTTTCGGACAGACATCACTTTAAATTCAGCCAATCTTTGATTATAGGGCTGTCTGTGTAAGATACCAATTTCATGGAATGCAAGGTGCATTGTAAAAGCATGTTGTACGTTTTCAATGCGTTGGGAATGTATGTGATAGTAAGGATTCCAAATGACACTGGCAAACTCGAGGCAACTTCTCACAAACACGTTGTACAAAATAGTTTTAGTTCTGCGGGTAAATTCTTTTGTGTTCCGTCTAATGAATCCGAGGAACTGCGTGGCTTTTTTAATAATATTGTTTATATGTGATGTAAAAGTAAATACATAAGGAGCGTTAACTGTTAAAAATAATAAAAGTGTGAGAGCGGATGTTCAACTTACTCTCTTGCTTACGCAATTTATCATTATCAGTAATAAGACAACGTAACGCACTATACATTCGGTATAGTGAAATTACAGTTCGACCACACCGTAACACGTCTCCGCCACAACCACACACCAGTGTAACGTGAGGTACTATATATATACTACTATATTCTATATTTTGACAATTTTTTTTATACATTAAATATACAAAACAAAGATTATGTTGTGTAAATATAATACATAATATTTGGAAACTTTATGGCGGTATACATCTGCATTTTGATTTTAATTAAATTTTTTATTATATTATAGAAGTTGATGGGCTACATCATCTATTTACCATTAGGTAGAAAGTGTGTTCATTTGTTCATTACATTTTTTAAAAGATGGTAATATTTAAATCATGTAACTTGTGCTACCACATCCCAAAAACGAATCACTGATGTAATATTACATTATATAATATCCTAGAAAAATATGAATATGTATGTATTTATTTTAAAACTAATATTAAAAAAATAAATTGTAGTTACCATATAGTAGCGGTGTAAGCATATCCACTACACCACATTATCCCGTAGGTGTCTTAAGAAGCGACACAGGGAAACTAGTCTAGAGACGGGCAGCAGCGTCCTCCTAATAACGACTATAAATAAAAAACTGCGGTTGATCTACGCAGTATGAACTTACGGTACTTGAAGTCTTGCAGTTGTATGCTGTCCCCACTACCCCCAACCCCAAATTCAGGCGACTTAATTCTAAACATTACCCGCATGCACAAATAAAAAGGTTAAAAACGACCCAACAAATAACACACTTAAAACAACTAGTGTCCTCATAAATAAACACTCCGAAAAATTAAATTTGGACGTAAAATCGATAATACCTACGTGTACCAAACCACCGAAGTTGTATGGGTTACCAAAAATACACAAGCCCCACTACGTCCCAAAGTGAGCCAAATCGATTCACCAACTTACAGATTGGCTCAACACTTAGCGAAAATACTCTCACCGCTCAGGGTACATACAAGAGCACACACAAAGGTTTCCTACCGTTTTGTCAGCGAGATTAAAGACCTACATCTGGCAGACAATGAAACTATGGTCAGTTTTGATGTGCAATCTCTGTTCACATGCTTACCTGTGGAAGACTGCATCTCGACTGTTACTAGAAGGCTGAAGGAAAACAACATGCCCGTAGAATTTGCAGTATTACTCAGACACTGCCTTAAATCTGGCTACCTATACACCTGGCCGCCGAGCTCCAACACGTCAAGCAAGTTTTGCACGACAATAAGCTTCGGGTCCCACGCCTACATCACAGTGAACGAGTGAAGCCAGCCACAGTCGAGCAAGTGCCTGCTGTACTGCCATATGTCAGAGGTGTCACTGACAAGATTGGCTACATCTTAAAGTGTGCTTCCATTAAAACATACTTCAAGCCGCCGAAGAAGATTAGTCAGTTTTTACCATCAGTCAAGTATAATGTCCCTCTGCAAAATGCAGGAGTGTACAAGTTTGATTGTGAATGTGGTCTCTCTTATGTAGGACAAACTAAAAGATCCATAAAAACTCGCGTTAAAGAACACATAGCTGATGTGAAGAATAGACCGCTCTGCAGTCTGTGAACACGCCCCCGTCACTACATTAGATTTGATAGACCATAAATCCTCGCTAAACAACACCGATTCCTTTCAAGAATGATTAATATTACATCAGTAATTTGTTTTTGAGATGTGGTAGCACAAGTTATAGGACTTTTATTATTTTGTACAGTGATCAAATTCCTCATTTATATTTAATTACTCTTCTCAGATCTTCCGTATCCTGTATCGATGCTCCGTACCATCCATATTTATTTGGATCCTATCAGGATACTTTGTAAAGGACATCAGTTCACCGATAGGAATTGCTGCGTACACTGCACTCGAACGACCAGTGTTCTGCCTTATTATTGTCGTAGCTATGCTCGGATTTATTAATAAAGTTGATAGTAAGTACATTTTAACAATTGTTCAATCAGATTAGATCAGCTTATTCATAATAATGTTAAAATAGCTATAAAAAAGTCTAAATTTCTTTAAAAAATTCACAACAGCCGGGACGCAAGCTACTTTACATGTAAAATTTGGAGGTGTAAGAAATCATTCTAGCGTTGAATTGCCCGCTTTCCTTGTTACCGGACATAGTGTCAGTGATTAACGTAACATCCTTACATAATCTATCTTCCTTTTATGACGTAGACACACACTAAAAAGGATTTTGAAAAATTCGACCCCTTGGATGGTGAAATAGGGCATTAGGGATTTTAAGTTAAAAGAAAGGCCAGAAGTTTAACTTAAAATCTGCGATCAAGATCATTCATCAGCTCTTTGTATTATACAATCTCATAATAAGCTTTGGTCATGACTGCCTGCACGTTATAATTTGGACGCACGTAACACCGCAGGACCAAAGACTATTCTTAAACTATAAATTAGACCTTTGATTTGCAGTGAAGGCAAGGCAGACATGGCAAACGTTCTATCCCAGCGAAAATGTTCCACTCTAAGTTAATTAACAAAAACAGTGGGATATACGCAGTTTGCAGAAAAAATTCTTTCAAACTTTCCATAGTGACCAAGGTCAGACCTTGCTAGCTGCTTTGACTAAGGAATCTTGTCACTGGTTACAAGCTTTACCATGAAGTAATATCGGCACATTACGTATTGGTAAATTATTTATTGTATGTAAAATATGTAAAAGATCTAACGTCCTAATCAAGACTGTTCATTTAAAATTTTAAAAACAAACAGTCTAGAATGTTATTTCGAGTCGATATGTACGAATTGATAAATTTCATTGTCTTTTATAGTTAGTCAGTCAGCAATCATATAATATCATATTAAATAATATTATACAACAATCATATAATATTATATTTAATAATATTATATGATTGTTAACTGTTTATTCGAGACATTTCATCCTTATCATAGGTCGCTTGGTTAAATAAAATACCGACTGTCTACGTTTTTTTTGCGTTTATAGTTGGTTTGTTTACGAGCTCAGGTAATCTTTTTAAAAATATTTGAATGTGGCTATTCTTATTTGAAAAAACAAAAGAATGCTTTCTTTGAAAGAAATTTGATATCTTCAATATTTAATGTACTTTCCCTCTATGTCCCTTTCTTTTATTCTACCCTGAATATATTCTATATATATTCTGGGACATAAATAGAAAATAAATGATCCAGCAACAACTTCATACTTCAACAATTCTCATAGAAACAACAATGTACTTGCAATATCCAGCTGACAAAAATATTTTTCTTTAAATAATATATTAATGTATCACCTAGGTCTATGGTGGCAGTTTCTATCGTGGAATGGCTGGCGACCACTCAGTCGCATGTCGTTACCCATTCTGCTCGTGCATTGGAGCTATAATCTTACACAAATTGCTGTGAAAACGAATCTCTCACGAAGCTCTATATTAGAACACGTAAGTTATTTAATCTAGATAATCTATACACTATAATTCTGATAATATATTTTTAGTGTTCCGTTCTAAAGTTAGCCAAATAAACTTAAATTTACTTTTGTAAATATAATTTACGTAATAATTTGAAATATAAAATAGATATTGTGATGGCATAATTATATGCGTACAGCATACAAAGTAAAATTTTGATTCTAGGTGTTAATTTAAGTGGTAAATAGAGATAATAGAAAAATTGTTTAGTCATTAATGGGACAAAGTTTGACCAAGACCCAACCTACACTAGGTAAGTGGTGATGAGGGTCTAAGAGTGTAAACAAATTAGCTTGTAAATGCGTCATCATTATTGCTTTGAAAAAAAATATAACCCCTATATAGCATTAAAATAAAAATAAATGTGAAAAACCGCCTTTATTTATCTGCATAAACTGTGCAAGTGGCGGCACTTGCACAGTAACACATTGCCACTTTTTTGGTAACAAGAAGATTCCATTCCTAAAAAAATACATCGAATTCTATTTTAATTTTAGAATAGAGTAGAATAGCACCAGGTAAACAAAAATTCTCAATACAGATCACACAAACATGTAACAATTCATATGGATGCATCTATCTGTCTGTGTCTAGAAATTTTTCGATAAGTTTTTAACGATTGTTTGCTGGTTTTTCAATAAAGCGTGATCGGTATCTTATTCAGAAGACTATAAAGGCCGTTCAGATTGCAACATCTTTTATCTCCTTTTTTGAATATCCTTAATCAATAACTGCATGTGCTTTCGTCTACAGCGCTCTCCCCGTATACTTTACACTATTTTGACGAGCTTCGGCTGCATTGAAACCTAAATTAAATTTAAAGTAGTGTCACAAAATGATAACCGTTTGATTGCAAAGTGGGAAATTTTAGAGCACAGAACACTATTACTCTCTACCGGGACAGGAATGGTAATCTCAAAACTTAAAAAATGAAACATCTGTTTGAGTGTACACTACTAGTGCCACAGTGGGTGTCCATATAAAACTTTTTGCGAAGGATTTTCTAACCTTTGTATTCGGTAATTTTTAAACTTTTCGTTTATTCTAGGCAAATTCAAGTAATATTGGCTCAAGCCTCTCAAACCTATTGTATGATTTCCTATTCATTTGAGAGATACAAAATTACTCTAATTTACTTTAGAGGCGTACGTGGGGTAAAATAAAAGTAAAATAGGTACATATAAATTGTGGACCACGCTTTCAGAGAATACCAGCGTTAAATAGCTTAATGCTGCTGTTTTTCGTATGGTGAATATGGACACGACTCTAGAGATCCCTTTTACTGGAAACGAGGCATTCCAACATGGTCCTTAGATCTATGCTCTATAAGACAACCGAGAGGGACAGTGCAGCTTCGACTGACAATGACTATGAGAAATAGACAAAACTACTTCAAAACTGATCTGATTAAAAAAAATTCAAACACATAGTGCTTGAAATTTTTTTTAATCAGATCAGCACTATGTGTTTGAATTTTTTTAATCAGATCAGAGAATATAAGAAAAATGTACTGTAGTGGCGGTATAGCAATTTTATTGTCAAAAGTGCGATACGTTTGGTACTGTGATCAACAATCCACCTAAGAGACGTGACGATTAAGGCCAATCCTCCCTACAACAGGAGAGGCAAACGTTCAGCAGTTCAATTTTCAACATTTACGGGCTGATGGTGAAGAAGAAGAATATAAAATAATATTTAAATCGTTTTTGCAGGGTGGACACTGGCTCGTGACTATATTCATGACTTATGTAACATCCTTGCCGCTGCATCTTCTCATCGAGTTGCCCATGACGCAGTTCTTCAAGGCGCTGTTTTCTTAATACAACTTATTATTAACACTAACTTTAATAACTAGTTCAGACAAAACCAAATAAATATACGTCTAAGTTTGTTCTAGATAAATTAAATTACGTAGTAGCTAAATATAATTCGTGCACAATAACAACAAGAATATTTACGTATTATATAATGTTTGTGTTATTTGTAATAAAAACAATTATTTAAGCGTAAATCTAGTATTATATTTCTACAATTAACCAAACTTCTGCTTGCTCGCTCGTTATATAAATGTATTCATTGAGATGTGAAGGAGGCCTTACTTGTCTCGTAGACCGCGTGTTGGTAGAATCATCTGAGCCTAAGGGAACATTATTGAATGAATGGGATTTTCATGAGGGCTCTTCTCAGTCAGACATCTGTTCTCGACGCCTCGGTAGTCTTGAAGGTTACGTTACCTGTCCATCTTTTGGCTACGCGTAGACAGCGACGACCATCCGCGCGTCTACGGGTGCCTCTATAGGTCCCATAGCGGTAATGCCGAAACAGACAGACTCATCGACCACATCCAGATGGCTACAGATTCCTTGCTACAACAGGTCCCATCCGTAGAGATCGTGATCTTTGGCGATTTTAACACCCACCACTCAGAATAGCTCGATTCACGTTTAACCGATCATGCGGGAAGATCTGTTCATGATTCTGCCTTGACATATGGTCTGACACAACTGGTTACTTCGCCTACGCGGATTTCAGATGTGGAGATGGAAGGATGGAAGGTCCAACGGGGGGAACACACTGCCGACCATCCCGCTATGTGAGTGCTCCATGCCGGATGTGCGGTTCACTCAGCACTCGGTTCGCAAAGCACTCCTCTCCCTAGACATCCACAAGTCAAGTGAGCCTGAAGGGGTTCCCCCAATTGTGATGATGACTTGTGCTCCGGAGTTGGCACCGGTTCTAACACTTTTTTCTCCAGTACTATCACTCCCTAGGCATAGTTCCGAAATCATGGAAGACAGATTTTATCCACCCGATCCCTAAAAAAGGTGACCGCTCAGATTCGTCTAGCTATAGGTCTATCGCCATCACCTCCTTGTTCTCCAAAATAATGGAATCCATTATAAACTGCCAGCTCATCCGGTACCTTGAGGATCACCAGCTGATTCGTGACCGCCAATAGGGTTTTCGTCTGGCTCGATCAGCTGGTGATCTTCTGGTCTTCCTGACTCATAGATGAGCGGAGGCAGAAAGTCCAAGGAGGTGGCCCTGGCAGTTAGTTTGAACAGGCCTGGGAGGAATTAGTCGTTAGTTTGAACATTGTGTGGGCCTTCGGTCGGGTTTGGCACAAAGCGCTTCTTTCGAAGCTCCCTTCCTATGAGCTTCCCGTGAAATTCTGCAATTGGATCACCAGCTTTCTTGCAGATCGGAGCATTAAGGTCGTTGTAGACGGTGCATGCTCCGACTAAAAGCCTATTAATGCAGGTGTTCCACAAGGCTCCGTGCTATCACCAATGCTGTTTCTTCTGCAAATCAATGATATGTTGCGAAGCGGTAACATGCGGATGACAGCACTGTTGATGCTCTATACACCGAACGTGCCAATATTTTTTGGGAAAGCGTCACCGATTACCGGAACAAACTTGTGTTTGAAGTCGGAATCAGACTCGGGGTGATTAAATCTCGTCCAGTTTAATCCTCAGAAGTTTGCTCATAAGTTTGCGCGTTTACCGCTGAAAAGAACCCCATTGTCGTATCTCCTCAGTTTCAAGGCACTTCCCTTTTTGACTCAGCCAGTATCGAAATCCTCGGTGTTGACATATCGAGTGACGTGCAGTTTCGTGGTCACTTGGAAGAGAAGGCCAAATTGGCCTTTAAATAGCTTGGCGTGCTCAGCAGAGCGGGACAGTATTTAATGCCGGCACACCGTCTGCAAATTTACAAGGCGCTGGTTCGGCCTCACCTTTTCGATCTGCTCGATTCACTGGTGCTGCTAAGAAATGTTGCATCCCTTTGCGTTTTCTTTCGCATTTATCCCGGGGACTGCTTTGAGGAATTGTTCGGATTAATCGCATATGCCAAATTTCACGAACGCACATCGCGAAAAAACTTCCGATACCAGCTAATCATCTAAATGCTTGGCGAAAGACACCACTAGGAGTTTTTCTCCGCTTGCGACCTTTCTGTGGAAAAGTTTACCACCGGCGATTTTTCCGGTCCGATACGACTTAGGGACCTTCAAGAAAAGAGCTTACTTCTATTTAAAAGGCTGGCAACACACCTGTAATTCCCCTGGTGTTGCAGTTTTTCATGGACGGCGGTAGTCACTTACTGTGAAACTGTAGGACAATGTTTTCTTTTTTTTGTGATTGTGTTTATCAAACGAAACAGAAGAGCAACGTTCTCATCGGCTCGGTTTGATACGAGCGTTTTCCAAACGAAACTGAAAGGCAACGTTCTCAACGACTACGCTTGATACACGAGCGTATATCAAACGAAAATGAAGACCAATGTTCTCATCAACTCCGCTTAATGCTTGACGATTGACGCGAGTGTTTATCAAATTAATCTAAGATCGAATCGATTAATTGAGATGCTATTTAACTCGGCTAGGCTGCGTTCGGGAGATTACCACACATCTTCTCATCAGGCATACCTCTAAACCTGAAAACAACATTGTACAACCAGTGCGTGTTGCCAGTGATAACCTGATGATGTAGCTCAAGGTCGCTCAGCGAGCTATGGAAAGGGATATGCTCGGGGTTCCTCTGCGTGATAAACTTAGAAATGAGGATATCCGCAGTAGGACCAGAGTTACCGACATAGCCCAACGTATTAGTAAGCTGAAGTGGCAATGGGCTGGCCATATAGCTCTAAAAACCGACAACTGATGGATAAGAAGGTACTCGAGTGGCAACTTTTTACCGGTAAGTGAAGTGTAGGGTGGCCCCTCCACTAGTTAGGGGGGGGGCACCCTACATTTTACCAGGTCGTTAATCCAACCTGGTAAAGTTGACGACCTGGAAGTGGTAAAGCCATGCTGCAGCTATATTATGGTTGTATTATGAATGGGTCAGTTCGAGCGGGGTAGGATCACGTTCTCACAGAATACCAGCGTAAAAGGGCATCTTATTGCTGCTGTGTTTCGTATGATTTATTAATTATAGATATGGTCACTATAAGATGTTGTTAGGTTAGCTAATTACGTAATAACTTGAGACAGAAGGGCTTGTAACTTGAACTCAGTTGCGAGACTGACGAATTGGGGAGATTCAATAAATTTAAAGTTACCTTGAAAATCAAACCAAACGTACCTGTAAATTTTTTCAGCTCGCGCCCTGTACGTTTTGCTCTAAAAAATAAGGTAGAAAGGGAAATAAAACGGTTAGTCGAATTAGGTATTTTAGAAAACAAGGATCATTCAGACATCGCTAGACCAATAGTTCCGGTTTTGAGGGCCGATGGAAACAACAGAATCTGTGGATGTATTCTGTCACCTTAAATAAATCTCTGTATGTAGATAATTATCCGGTACCGCGTGTTGAAGAGTTCCAAACTCCATGGCGGTGAGGAAACTTGACCTTTCTAGGGTCCGCTACCAGTTGGAACTGGATTTTTTTATAGGACAGGATGACAAACGAGCACACAGTTCACCTGATGGTAAGTGGTTGCTGTGACATATAGACATCTACATCTATCCTCAATAAAGAATCAAAATGCAGATGCGTTGTCGCCCGTGAGGACTAAGATAGAATGCCTCTTTTTCAGTAAAAATGGTCTCCGGTTCTCTACACTTATCATACGAAACACAGCAATGTTAGGCTACTATTTTAAGCTGGTATGCTGTGAATACGTGGTCATTCCCCGGTCGAGCCTACCCATTCGTGCTACAACTGGCTCTACCACGTATGATAAGGATGAGGATGAGTCAAGACAACTGACTTGCATTAATATCCACAAGGGTTTATACCGTTATAACCGGCTAGTTTTTGGATTATCTAATACTGCTTTTATTTTACAACAAACTCTTGAAAAATTAGTGGGTGATATTGAAGGTGTGGCAAATTTATTGATGACATTTTAGTGAAGGGTCAAAATCGTAGTATACACTTAGAACGATTAGAGAATGTTTTAAGCAGATTAGAGGATGCTGGTATGCGGTTAAAAAGAGATAAATGTGAGTTTTTAGGAATTTTGTGGAATATTTAGTATTTTCAATTGACGGTTTGCAACGTGGCAACGATGTGCTCAGAGGTAGACACATGTTTGTACATAAATTATTTAACGAATAATTTTTTGTAACCGGCTACGTTAACAGACGTTAAGTTAACGTGACTCACGCGCATTAGTGAGCGTAGACCTCTCTGCACCCGACGTATTCTTGTAGGTTCATGCAGTCTTAGTACTTCGCAATAATATTTTGTAGTTAATTTCGCTTATTAAAATTGGAGTAATTTTAATTTGAGTTAAAGACACATCTGTACTGCTCGGAGATCCGAGGGGAAGGGAAGTTGGACTTACCCAGTTAGTAGAGCTTAGAGATCCCAACAATTACCGCCATAGATGTGACATGGACGTTATACATGATCTTCGTTTTGTTCGTGTTCATCTTAAGACCTATCCGTTTGGAGACACTATTGAGGTCATTGAGCATAGTGCTTAGGTCCTCCAGCGATTTTTCCATAACTATATCCAGGACTATATCGTCGGCAAATCGAAGGTGAGTGATGTACTCGCCGTTGATGTTAATACCATATCCTTTCCAGTCCAGAAGATTGAAAATGTCTTCCAATGCAGCGGTTAAGAGTTTCGGGGATTTCGGGATATAACATCACCCTGTCTTACACCTCTCTGTAGATGGATAGGTTTCGTACTCTGGTTTGGTACTCGGATAGCCATCGTAGCCTTACTGTACAAACACTTCGGCACTTAGATATACCGACTACAGCACCGCGCAAATTTCGACGGAATCAAAGGCTTTCTCATAGTCGTCCACATACGCCAGACATAGTAGCAAATTGTACTCCTCAGACTCCTGTACAAT